AGACGCCCAGGCAAAAAGGCTTTCTCCTCACATTGGACCTGGTTCGCGTCTCGCTGGAGGATGCCCTTGGCAGAAGGCCTCCATGGATCCGTTCGTGGATCCTTGTAATCTGCTGGCTGCCGGGCTGCGAGACTTCGTCTACTTAGCAGCTGCCGACACCAATTCCGAGTGTTCGGCTGGGACTGGCGGACTCCACATCGACATCGACCCGGCGGAGATCTCTCTCTCTCTCTCTCTCTCTCTCTCTCTCTCTCTCTCTCTCTCTCTCTCTCTCTCTCTCTCTCTCTCTCTCTCTCTCTTATCCTACACCCCTGAACCCTAAACCCTATTAATATTAGCATAAGTAAGAAGCAAGAGCGCAAACATCATTAATACAATGCACTTACAATAGTTCGTTCAGGGGCTGGGCTTCTTTCCCGGGCTTTCAAGTTTGGTTTCGGGGTCTTTGGGACTGATCTTGAAGCTCTGTTTCAGTAATTTAATAATAATTCCGGTTTAGGGTTTAGGGTTTAGGGTATGGGCACTCCCCCCTAAGTCGCCCACTCGCAAGACCCATAAGATCCGCAAGATGCATCCAAGCAATAATTGCAGGCATAATGTAATAAATGTAATTTACTCGAAAGTTGCAACCGAAACAAGGCCAGTAAGACTCAGTTAAGATTCTCCTTCTTTGCTCAAATCTGCAAATCTGAGTCTTTGGAAGTAAAGGAGTGGCACCCTCGTAGCCAGACCTTCCGTAAGTTCCTCTGCCCAGATTCAGCACAAAAGCAAACCCTAAACTAGCTAGTAAACGACGATTATTATTACTACTAGTACTTAATAACTAGTGCTACTACTACGACGACGACTACTACTCCTGACTGTCTTGAAGTAACGAATGAATGCATATTTCATAATAACAATTTTTAATACAGTAAGCTTCCGGGTCTTGCATATCACCACGCTTGCAGGCGGAGACTCCTGCGAGAGTTTCCTGCCCTGCTGATTACACTGGTCTGGCCAGAGTCCTCCTGCCGCGAACCCAGAGTGCGACCGGTCACAACCGCATGCACGCACAATTTATTAATAAACTATTAAGTTGTATAGTAGCGCCCACCCACATACGCAAACGTAAACATACATGCACGCTTGCGCCTGTACGCATCTGCGAGCATAGAGACGGTGTGCGGATGCTTATTCAAGTCAATAGTTGAAATGATTAACTCACCTGCGCTGGATCGATGCTCGCAGCTTTTGCGATTGTCCTTGGTTTCCACATTCTGATGTATAGTAAGCCAAACCAATCCAATCAGACACAGTCAGACACTAACAGGTGCCGGTTCCACCGGTCTATCCTGCAAGAGACCTACGTCGCTTGCAAGGTCTGCCCGCCTCCTGTTGGATTGTTTCGGCCAGATTCAGAAACGACACTGCAGGGAAGCCTGTTTGTTTGCGATGAGGTTGTGAGAGATGAGAAATTGCACCGGCCCAGCCGTCATCACTGCCGGTGACATGTCCGGCTCGATAGCAAGTAAGAGAAGCCTTGAAGCATCTCAGTCTTGGATAATTTTGTTTCCTGCTGGCCGAGCTTGCGCAGCCATGGCCCCGAAGAAGAGCTGCATCCAGTCAAAAACCAAGGCAGTGCAAGAGAAGGCGCTTTCGAAGGAGAAGAAGCTGAAAGTGTTTTGTCTGCAAGCAAGGCGTCTACACTTCAACCTTCCGACCCCCCTTAACTTTAAACATATGATCCCATCAATCAAGCTAATCACATGTCCGAATATTCGTGAACTGAGGACAAGGCGGAGGAAGCCTTGCGCAAAGAGCAGAAAGCGAATCTTGAAGCGCAAGAGAACAGACTGATCACGATGAGGCAGGAGCTCGATGCGTGGTTTGCCCTACGGCCGAAAGCACTGGAACACATCCATCGGGGCTTCAGTCGCTGAGAATTTTAGTTTTTCGTTTTTTTGGGTATGTTTGGGAAAGAAAAATAGTACTGTGAAGCTTTAGCGAGCTAGGTTCTTTAAATTCAGTTGAACTTGAGTGAAATGACTGACTGTGATTCATTGTCTTTAGAGCGCACGTGGCATAAAGGTATGGGAAGCTTTGATTCGCTGGACTCCGGCAAGATCGTGGGCGACGACGACTCGTCGGAGCAGAAGCTGAAGCCCTACATGAACAAGTTCCGATTGCTTGGGCAAGAGCAAACGCGACCGCTGCTTTGCAAGATGATTCCCAAAGTGATGTCGTTCTTGGACAAACAGCAGAAGAACTTCAGGTGCAAGATAGAGCGTGCTTTCCTGGCGACCCTGCTCGCGTAGCTTGGCTGTGAATCAGTAGTACATGTAAAACAATCTTTCATTCAAATCTTCTTTGCCTCTGCCGAAGCAAGACAAGTGCAAAACACCTCACTCGCCGTAGGTTCATCACTCACTGCGACGTCAACAGCGCGTTGCCGAGCAAGAGCATGGTCGCGCTTGAGGACTTCATGATGAAGCGCTTCACAGACTACGGCAGCCGGCTAGAAACCTGGGAGCCACGGGGGCCAGAGACGACCTTCCAGGACCTACTCGTTTAACCCGCCTAAGTAAGGCATCCTGCGGCAACATCGTGATTTTCCGCCGCCTGTTCATTGCTCAGCCTCTTAGGCCCATCATGCGGCTGGGGTCGTGAGTCCAAGTCAGTGAAAATTCAAGTTGAATGAATTCGGTTTAACCGTTGCCTTGTTTGTCGGATCGGTTGGCCTTAAATTCACCCAAGCCCAAGAGTCCGCGTTCTCAAGGAGTTCTGTGACGATCCCTCCTGCAGCTACTGGAGGCTGGAGAAGCAGGACGACGGCAAGAGTCAGTTGCGGTACATGCAGACCGACTTGATGTTTAAGCTTCCGCCGGAGATGCAGAACATCGACAACATCAAGGTCATGTGCGCAAGAAACTTCAACACATCCTTGAGTTTCTCAGCTGCAATGTGCGAATCTTTCAGATCAAGTTATCTAAGCACGCGCTTCTCTAGTTCTCTCGTCTATTCAGAACATGTTGAAACCACTTCTTCCAACTCAATTGTTCGTTGCATAGCAATTCCGTCAGGTGCTGGGTTGGTGGACATCTCGGTGTGCAAGATCCTGAATTCCGACATCAACGAGGGCAAGACCTTGCCCGAGAGCCCGTTCTTTCTGAAGGAGTGCCCGACGGGTTCCTCCCCCGAAGCCGGTTCTGGTGATGGCAAGAAGACGAAATCGTGGCAGGCGAAATCGGAGACTGCGCTTCAACCGGCAGCTGGGAACGGCAAGAACACTCCCCCGCGGACGCCGAAGCGCAAGATCAATTCCAAGTCGTCGCCTAGCAAGAGTCCGAAGACCCTCGCCGGATCGCCCGTCAGCTCGATCAAGTCGCCAGCATCAGGAGGGCGAGGATCGCCAAAGTAAACTTGACTGAGATTGTTTCAGGGGCAAGAACACAGAAGAAGCATTATTATTTTTAACATAAAAAATGCATCGCTGAAAGTTGGTGTCACATGCTTTTGTGTTCTCGGGTTACCCCTGCTTCTGAGTCTTCCGAGACTGTAGGTCAGAGAGCAGGGAAGTATTTCAAGAGCGCCCCGGCCTGACTCTGCCGATTTCCGCTGCCGCTGTTGCTGAAGGCAAGAAATTTTAATCGAGTCCTCGGCCGCTGAACCTGGCAAGTTTTGGCGATCAACCGCCTTGCCGGGCCGTTTGCGATAAAACGCTGCCTTAGTCACTGGCCGCAGAAGTCGCAAGAGAGAAAACGGGTTGCCAGAGCAACAAGCCTTTTGACGCACCTCATTTGTGATTTTACACTCCCGCCCGCCAGGATTCTGCACTTCCTGGACCTGCACTGAACGACTGTCGGGCCCTGGCAAGAATTTTTGCTAATGAGCCAGAGTAACGCAAGAAACTCCGTATTTTTGGAAAGACATTCGCAGGAAATCCCTGCAAGATGCAGAGAAAAAGGCGTGGCAAATCATCATCATTTCATCTCGCTGACATATAAACTTCACAGACTATCCGGGGTGTAGTGTCGTAAATTCTTATTGAAGCTTTTAATATACTTGGGAATTTTAACAACATATCAGAACTTTATCTTGTAACCGAACAACCCACGAACCCCTCACGAACCCCCAAAACGTTCGCAGAAGTTCGCCGAAGGGTTTTTGAAAAAACGAACTTCGTCGAAGGGTCAACCTTTGCCTGACAGACCGTTGCCCCCTTCTGCGTTCCCCTCAATGGATACAGACATAGCTAAACATATAAGAAAGTACATACTATACGTCTATCTTGAATACGCATCTATTGTCATCTTGGAAGGTTCTAGACAGTAAGGTTCTTCAGGCCCTCCAAAAGCGGGGCATGGAGGCTTTTGGAGGGTTAAGGGCATAGTGTTTGGAGGGCTTTGGGTTTGGAAGGCTTAGGGTTTTGAGGGCTTAGGATTTGGGGTTGTGGCGGGTTTGTAAGGGGTCCATGGCAAGCGAGAGATCTTGACCGACGCATGGAACTGAACGTGTGGACGTGAAGAGTGAAGAGAGAAGTTCGTTAACAACTGAGACCCTTTCAAGCAAGAATTATGGGAGAGTCATAGCTGAGCTATCTTTGCGTCACAAGGGTGAAATGGGCACTAGCCGAGACGGAATGAAGAGATGTTGCCCTATCACTTATCTGCGGTTACTGCTGCATACGTTTCGCTATTCGCAAGGCTTCGCCTTATTTGTGCTACTTACTTGGTGGTTGTGACTATCCTTCTAACTTCCAGCGGAGGTTGAATCAGAGCCTGGCCACAGTCTTGTCTTTGAGGCTAGTTGCCTTTTGGCTGCTTCAAAGGATCGACTGCGTCTCGGTGTGTGTCGCTATGGACTGTCACTTCTGCAGCAAATCGTGCTTTTCACTGTCGAAAGTGAAATCCAATTGCTGTTGCGATCTTGCATCAAACTTTGGCCTTGGATGGCTAGATGTGATCTGCGGTCAAACCCGGGGGGGGGGTGTGCAAAGGGGGCGGAGATTCGAGTCTGGGATGTGGCCGGAGGCGGGTTGCGTGAAGTGGGGCTTGTTTACTGGAATCTTGTGTTCGAACTTTCAGAAGGACACCCCGAGAATTGTCCTAAGGACGCCTAAATATACAACCATTGAAGCCTGCATCGAACCCTGCCTCATGTTATTTACAGGACGACCTACCCACCAAGCAGCTGCCAGAAGCCCAGAAGGCACCACACAGCACTGACTTCTCAGCTTAGCAGTGCTAAGGACGTACCTGGCCTCAAACTTGCAGAAGACTGTTTTTGCAGAGCACGCCGTTGACGACCTCGATGGCAAGAAGGGCAAGAAGAAGGACACTGCTCTTGCCATTATGCTGGCTGCCCCTGAAGAAATCGCAGCCATTGCAGGAAAAACAAGCTGGACGGCAGCGTGGATTCATCGTGCTCGGGCACTTACGAACAATGAACCCGAAATCCCCAAACCTACGTGAGTGATTCTGTTGCGTTGCTTGGACTCAGGCGGGTGGATCAGGACGAGCGCGTGAATGTTCTGCCTTCCGTGCAGGCAACTGACCGAAAGGGCTACACGAAGCGGGGTTTGTTTTGGGGCCTTCGCCTATGTTTGTTTTCATTTTAGGTGTGTTTGTGCCAGCAAGTTTGGGGTCAGTTACTGTTGAGGGGAACAATGGAATAGAGCCCTCCTGCTTTTGCTCTGTGGGATTGCACCTCCTGAAAGGCTGCTGTGGACAAGCTCCAGAGCAGCGGAGCAGTTTCGCGTGTGGATTTGGACGAGACCGAGGGCAAGAAGAGGACGTTTGGTGTCCTTCGCCTCACTGCTCAAGGTGCCGTTCTGCGCAAGACGCTTAGACGGAGCTGCAGGAACAAGAAAGGGCGCGACACCGACGAGGCGCCTAGAAGTTAGAGCACAGCTGTTTCGGAACAGTAACTATTCATATTGTCGATTTTACTTTTTACCAGCTGTATAACTATTAGTCTTACTCTTGCTGTGTGACGAGGCTAAAGAGACAACGGAGGAACCGGAGCCTGGTCTTCCCCTTGGAGTGAACGAGTGCCGAGCCCTGTCCTCAGCCTGCGTCCAGCCGTTGGTTGTCATGGGCTTAGGGTTTAAGGGTTACCTGGACCCCAGAAGTATGTAGAATAATAGCCTTTTATGGGTGTTGGGCCATTATGTTACTTACTTTTGGGGGTTTAAGGGTTATAATATATATATATATATATATATATGTACAGACAGATAGGACAAGCAGATCAGATTCCGAAGATGCGAGCCCCTGAACCCCTAAAGCCTAAACCGCGAGGTCGAAACGGTTGCAAGATGCCAGCACCAGGCACATGGAGTGAGGACCTGAGGCTCAGCTCCGAAGCTATATGGGGGGGGGTTTCCGAAAAGAGGGGGACCCTAATATGGTACCCTAAATACTAGGATCCTTCTTACTGGTATTAAGGACCCAGAATAAGGTAGCCTTAATTTTCGGAAACTCCCATATGAGGAAGACCTGCAGTCGATTGCATACTCAGGTTGGCTTCACCATCCTTGTCTCCGAGGGCAACGCAAAGCAGAGGCGAGATGCTTTGGAGTACGTGCACTGGGGCTGCTCGCGACAACCCGAGACCCTACATGGGCGGTTGTCAAAATTAGGGTTTTTGGGTCCGTATTATAATACGGCACCTATTCTTTAGGGTACCCAAAAATGGACCCTAATTTTGACAACTACCCACATGATCTTGCAGCCGCCAGGATACACTGCTTTACAGCAAGCAGGGAGGTCAAGCTTCCAGAATGGCACGACAAGCTGATGAAGGCTTGATCCGGATCCTTGTTAGGAGGTCGTCCAGGTCACTTAACCCTAAACCCCTCCAGGTCACTTAACCCTAAACCCTAAGCCCTAAATTACCCCAAGCCCCAAAGGCCAACGTTATACGGAGCTTTAGGAGGGTCCTGCCCTGCGAGCTGGCTCGCAGGCGCTGGCGGCTGATGGCACCCGTGTCCTGTGCACTCCTCAAGGAATGCTCAGAGCGAAAATACGAGATGACAACACTGGTGGTGGTTCTCATAATATGGGTAGTTGCCAAAATTGGGGTCCCTTTTCGGGGTACCTTAAATATGAGGTGCCGTATTGTAACTGGGACCCCAAAAGGGACCATAATTTTAACGCTACGCCGCCCGCCTCGGCTCTGTAGCGGCAGAACCCCAACCGGCTCTTCTCCTTTGGGGGAGGGGGGGGAGGGGGGGAGGGGGGGGGGAAGACAGGGTGTCTCTCGGACTGCAGGGAGGAGGATTAGGTGTGGGCCTGTGGCCTCGGCGGATTTTGACAACCACCCAATATGTAAACATAAGATAACATAAGCAAAAATGTGTAGTATACGTCGATATTATACGGAGGCATGTCTGCTTTTTCACATGCATCCATCATCCGCCCGTCCATCCGTCCATCCATCCGTACGTGCATACCATAGAGTTTGCTTCTTCTTGAAGCCTGTGCCAGTGCTTGCGTGCTGCTGTTTCTCCTGCCGTTGCCGGATTGCTGCAGCAACAAAAGCCATCCAAGATCGGACGCTCTAAGACCTCCAACCTTGACCCGAAAACCCTTAGACTCATAGGCCCTAACTCAGGCAAAGTCTCCGATTTCCGAGTAAATCTACCGTTTCTGTTGTTACGAAGACAGCTTTCCGAGCCCGACTATCGGAGCTTCCCGGAGACGTCACAGCTTTCTAAAACGACACTCTAATTCGGCCTGGGCAAACCGAGGTCTGGCGATCTTTTCGAACCGTCTCGAATCTGTTTTACCGAAACTTGCGAGAAATGCAAATCATCCTAACATCCTTGCAGAATGGGAGCATGAGCCCGAAGCTTGAGACTTGTTCTGTGGATTCCAAGGATGGGTCGAATGGCGCCTGCGCTGGCACCCCCTCCACCAGACAGCGAGGACAGAAGCAGAGCAGCGCATTGTTGGAGCTGAAGACAGGAATGTTGGGTTTAGGGTTTAGGGTTTTGGGTTGTAGGGTTTAGGGTTTTTTTGGATGCAGGTTTCGGCTTTGGAGCGTTCAGTGGTTTGGGTTTCGTGTCTTTGAACTGAGATAGCCGGGCTTTGCTCTGCATCATTGCGCTTCCTTCAGAAGGTGCGCTTCGCACAAATGCAGACTTGGATGGAATCGCACTGATATGCGCTCATTACTCCTACTTTTGCCGCTGGGATACCACTACGACGACTACGACCACTACTACTGAAACTACCGCTATCGCTGTCGCAGCCACTACCATTACCACCGCCACCACCACGAGCAGTGGTCGCAGTAGTAGTAGTAGTAGTAGTAGTAGTAGTAGTAGTAGTAGTAGTAGTAGTAGTAGTAGTAGTAGTAGTAGTAGTAGTAGTAGCAGCAGCAGCAGTAGTAGTAGTAGTAGTAGTAGTTGAAGAGCACCCTGAGTAGGCTCTTCAGCTGGAACCTGCATTGCTTGACGCCTCCTTCGAAGAATCGTTCCAACCTTTATCGGATGATCCCCGAAGGAACCGCAACGGCCATGGGCAGAGACAACCTTCACACTTTTCCGGCACAGCAACAAAGTGCGTTTGTTCCTAAGTGCATCTGTGCATAACTTAGGATCTTGACTTACGCACGCAGTCTAAGACATCAAGTCCTTGCTGGCTTCTGTCGATCATGGCTCCTCGAGCCAAACTCCGCTTGACGGAGCAACAAGGTCCTGCAAACCACAAGCTCCACTCATGGTCCTGTACAAAGGCAGTGCTTCAGGATTCAGCACCCCTCCTTGATGCGCCCGATAGGGCTGCCATCATCATTCCTTCGCGTCGCCTGAAGCACTTCCAGAACTCATCCTCTGGTATTTTCAGGATGATTCCTCCAGTCGTTCAGGCAATACTGACACACAGGCTTCCTCACAGCCCTCGAAGCATTCCGAAGTCCATGGCAGTCGGGTTTCAAGTGCACTCGGTCACCATTGGGGCTCACATACATGTCACCCTCCCACGGCTGCACGATATACCGGATCCTGGCATCAACCGCAGACGAATGTATGGCATGCGCTGGCACATCCGGCGGGATCTCAGGGTCCGTCTGGACTGCTCTGCTCCACTTTTCAGGCTGGAATCTTTCCTGGCTCCGGACTGTTGGCCTTGAGGACGTAGAAGACGACGTAGAAGCCCTTCCCCGAGCTTCGGCACCCGAGGTTGACGCTCTACCAGCTTCAGGCTCGCTCGGCACAGTAGCGTCACCAGCACGAAACTTCTCAATCAGCAAAGACAATCTGGCCTCCTGTTCAACAGATCTCTCGTCGAATCCCAGTAAAGCCAAAAGCTCCTTGCCCTCGCTCTTTGAGAGTCTCGGCCTTGGTTTTGCCGACAACATCTTCAACCTCACAGCTTTCTTAACACCTCCAGCAGCACGCTTGCTCCACTCCCACACAAAGATGGTGGTAATCATCACAAGCAAAACGGCAATCCAAAGCTCATGCTCAGAGTCCACGCCAGTGTAGGCCTGAACCTCCTCGGCGTTCTCACCAGTTACACCAGCCAACAAACCTAAGGCTATTAGAACCTGGGTACACCTACTCAGGATCCCTTCATTCAGGACTGTTGCTGGTGTGGTGGCTTGTGACGCTCTGACTGTGTTATCGGATGCTGCTGTTGTGGCTTGTGATGCTTTGGCTGCGGTATCGGATGCTGCTGTTGCGGCTTGTGATGCTTCAGCTGCTGTGGCTTCGATCATCACCTCACCTTCTTCAAACGTGATCTTCTTGAGGACAGCAGGGCCACCACCACGGTAGAAACCCCATTCTTGAAGCAACTTCCAAGCACGGTCTGAGGCCAACTGCTTAGTCAAACCATCAGCAAGCTGTCCAACGCCCGGTTGGTGCATCAACTGGTACTCGTCGGAACTCACCAACTCCACCAGCCAGTTTTCTCGAAGTCGAAGATGCCGGGTTCTCCAGCTCCCACCTGAGCTAGCAACAGCGATAGCAGCCGTTGCATCAACCCTCATTTCAGCTGCGTCCGGTGAAATTCCCATATCGGAAAGAGTAGTCTTCACCGCTCTCAACAACTGGGCACCTTCGCTCAAGGCAATAAGCTCTGCCTCCGCACTGCTCAGGGCCGTGAGGCCCTGGTTCGCCGCTCTCCACGATATCGGAAGACCCCTCCACAAAATCAACGTCCCAGAGATGGACTTTGATCCCGATGGAGAATGCGAGGCGTCGCTGAACATCACGAGGTTTCCCGGCTGGTCCCGCTCCACAACAAAACCTGCATCTCGCGTGGCGTTGTAGTAGGACAAAATCTTCTTGGCGATCAGGATTGCCCGCTCCGGCCACCTCGTGGTCAACCTTGCCATCATCATTGCCGCGTAACTGGCATCCGGCCTTGTTCGCTGGGTGGTCCACAGAATTTCCCCACACCGCTGTTGCGCCTCTTTTATCAGCGCAGGACTCTTGTCGGCATCCTCTGGGATTTCCTCCGTGGCCCACTCCTTCAGAAACGGAACCTTGCTGAAGGTCGTGACCTCTCGTCGCCTTAGGAGCTCATCGACGTAGCCCCTCTGCGCAATCTTCATCCTTCCATCCGGCTCGACCGACAGCTCCAGTCCAAGGAACCGAACAACAGAGTCCTTTGTGACTTCTTCACGGCCACTGGTTTCCCAAGTAGATTCCAACCAGTCATAGAAACCATGGACGAACTCCGGAGGTCCCACTGCCAACGTGTCATCGACGTAGAACAGCACATAGCCCACTATCTTCTCAGTCCCATCTTCCTGAACCTCGACAAGCTTGTGCAAGTTCTCATCTGTCACGCAAGCAACCACCTTCACGTAGCGCCCGGCCTTTGACTTCCACTTAGCCTTCCGAACGGTCTGATTTCTGTGTTCAGACCACCAACGGGGAGACCGTTGAAAGCCATAAACGGCTGCTGTGGCGAGCCATAACTCGCCTGGTTCGGCAAGCTGTGCTCTCACCATTGCGCGTGGCGCCTCCATGGCGTAGCGCCGCCCATTTGGCATCTCCGGTATCGGGGCTCTCAGGAACGCGGTCTTGATGTCGTCGGTCACGGCGATCCAGTCCCGGTGAGCGTTCTTCTCCGCCAGACACAGCCTCACCAGGTCTATCGTAGCTCCTGCCGAGTAGATGTCCCCCAACTCCTCCGCAGTCTCTCCAGAGAAGTTTCCACAGGCCACGCTGCGAACCTTTCTTCGGACCTCACCCGGGATGCCGCTGGGCTTCACAGTGAAGACCAACTTGCTGGGCACGATGACCACATTAGGATCCCGCCTCAACGCCGCGGCCTCTGAGCCGCGGTACTTCTTGATCGCCGTCATCTGCTCCAACGAACTGAGCTCGGCCTTCATGGCTGGCACCCACTTGTCCACAACCGGTAGAACTTCTCGAGGGTCAACGGTGTAAGTGACCTTGAGAGGGCTGTCGGGGCTCACCTTTGCAAGAAGGTCCTCGATGTTCGGGGTGTACAGAGTGTCCTGTGTGGCCTTCATCATTCGGGCCTCCCCCTCCTCGGCGAGCTCATCGTCTGAGACCTCAATGAACCACATCAACGGCTCAGGCTCTTCAACTCTCATCATAGCTACTCGCGGTACCACCCTCCTGTGATCATGATCATCCGGTCGCGGATCTGGGCCTTCAGGTGGTCCTGGTCCTCCACGATCCCTTACAGGATCATCTCTAGGCACTCTTCGAACAATGACCTGCCGGTGAATCCACAAAACAATCACCTCCTCAATGTTCATCACATCGTTACGGATCTTAAACGCCTTGATGAAGGACGCATTTCTGGCATCTGGGTCGTAGTCGGGAACTCGGTAGGACCTCAGCGCTAAGAACCTTCCCACTTGCAGCTCCTCGCCCTCCTCGGACTCCAAGTAGATCCTGGGATGTTCAGCCCAATCCCTTCCAAGATCCGCCACTATAGCCGCTGGGATCACTGAGTTCAAGTCTCCATCAACTGGCTGAACCAATCTCCATCTTGTTGCCATCTCGGGGATGAAGTGGTTCACGCCATATCTAGCGCTCGTAGTTTCCCACTCTTCCTCAGACATCCTGATGTGCATCACAGACTCAGTCGTCTCTAGCTCCAAGTCCATTTCAACTTGTTCTCCTCCTTCTCCTTGGAGCAACTTACACATCCTTGGCTCGTCTTCCACATTCAGAGGTAAAGGAAAACCCAAATCCAGTGCTAGGTCCTCATCCTTCTGCGAGATCTTGTTGAGACCACGGACCGTGTAGACCGCCAAAACCACTCGCTCTCCCTCCCATGGCATCGTAGCATGCCACTGCCGGGAATCGAAGGAAACCACATTCCTTTTCCCCTCCTCGGAAAACAACGGAAGAACACGGCCTCTTTTTCCATCGATCTCAACAACATCGTCCTCACACACTTGTTCGGATGGCAGGAGCTGAGTCCACAGACCGCCGCGCTTGAACTCGGTGATCGGAATCAAGCGGGAATGCTGATCTCTCGCGTTGTGTGAGTCCCGATGCCTCTTCACATTGAGGTTCTTGTGCAAGGAGAAGGTCGACCAGGTCGTAGAGGTACCCAACTTTCTTCGAATGTACTGGTTAATCACCCTCGTAGAGTAGGGAAACGTCCTTGTGGAGTTCCTCAATCCCAGCACTCCTCCGTGTCGGAACGCCCCAGACGCCCAGGCCTTCGGGCTTCCCCCTCCGCCATCTGGTTCCTGAGTCTCCCGCGAGAACTTCTGGTTTGGTAGGAGATCAAACAATCGCTGAACGACCGCCTCATCAATGTCCTCGTCCTCATAGAGGATCTCCCTCGCGTAGTCCTCTGGATCCAAAACTTCTCCATCATCACAGACAGCACCTTCATGACCTCCACCTTGATCTGCTCCAAGAGCCGCAACACGAGGTTCACGCCAAAGGTGAGTGCCGTCCTCCTCGATAAACTCTTCCTCG